ATAATTAACCTATTATTGCAAGATCTCTGGATTTCTTCCCCACAGAAAGAGAATCCTGTTGAGACATGAAAAATGTGTCAATCTAATATAATAATAGAATAGTGAAGCCCTGTGGTTTAATGACGCATTAAAATTATGAAAAGTTCTTTTCTGTTTATCCCACTCAAACTTGCACTCAAAAATATTATGTAACTGTTAATCCATAATACATTTATCTTGCCAGTTGAAAGACAGCAGTCTGCAGTGACTGGTGTTACTTGAGTGAAGCAGTCCTTCAGGGCTCCTTTCTTTTCATTTTCTAGCAGCTTTCTTTCATACTGCAAGCATTATTGCTCTAATATGAAATGCTACCACATGATTTGAGGTTGCAGTCTATATCCTGCTAATCAGTGTAATTGCCTTCCTTATTCTTCTCAGCCTCCTTTCCCTTTTCCATTATTTTTAACAGCCAACATGACCAAGCTGGAATTTCTATCCAGTATCACCAAAAAGTGATAGAGCTCCCTAGCAGATAATTGCAAAGCAGATAAATAACTTTGTGACTGAGGTTTCTGTAATATTCAGCTCACTTACTGATGTTTGTCTCCACAGCCAGAACCTTCCCAAAATGGCTCTTGTTTTTATTAGTTGTGAATACCACATTGTCCATATAGGGCGTCAAGAATACAAATTGCTGCTGCATTTAATTAGGAAATACAATAAAAGTTTTGCAATAAGGGAGCAAGTATCAGAAGGGATTTCTATTATTTAATGCCTTCTATGCCATACAGGCAATGTAGAAATGAAAATATCAGGTGAAAAGTTGGAAGGATATGTTTTAAATGGAGTTCTCTATAATGCCCACATCTGCATGGAGGTGCTGCCTTTGCACTTCTTTTTTCCGCAGTTCTTTTTCAGAACTGATCTCCATTCTTTTTGAAATATTGCCCTAAAGTAAACGTTTCTGAAATATCCAAGAAACCTTTGAAAACAAGTTAGTTCTTGTTCTAGTTCTCAAGTTGCCTATGAGAAGGAATTATTTTTTAAACGTGGGTCAGTCATCTTTAGTAAACAGCAAATGAGTCATGATTACGTAAAAGTTTCCTGTGCATCTACAGGAAGGACAGAATTCCTGTCTCCAAAAGTCTTGGACACAGACATTTACAGTCAAGCTTGTTACTTCGCAGGAATGAGGTAACTTCAAAAGAGAAAAAGTTGTTCTTTTAACTGACTTTCTGATGAGCTTTCTCCTACAGTCATTGTTACCTTTTTTTTTTAATGCAAAAATCTTCAGACAGGACAAATACTAGTAAACAAATACTAGTAAAGTGTGTGCCAGCTCATCCACCCTAGCTAAAAGATTGTCGTGGTTTTCTATTGCAGTCTGCTTTTGTCCTTTAGAAGCTTCCTTTCATGTTGAATGAGATTGAACAATAACAGGGAGGACATTAGTAATGTAGGAATTAAGGAGCAGTTTTACCACTGTTACCAAAAAGATGCAAGAGGAAAACATGTGCCATCAGTGGACTTTAGCAACTCAATTCTAGTAAAGGGCAATATCTCCCAAATGCCTTTGATGGCTTACATTTTCAACACTTTGAAGTAGAAGACAAGCTTGAGGCACATAGAGGAAAAATGCCAAATTTGGCCAGCTATGTGCTTGATGTTGGACTCCTGTTTTCCTTCTGGTTTGATCTTTGTCTGAAATAGCTCTTAATGGGAAATTTCACCTCTTCTACAAGAGTTCTTGCAAATTTCTTCTGTGGAATAATATTTTTTTAAGAAGTAAACATAGGCCTGTCTGAGCAAGATTGATACAGATAAGTCATATGCTGATGTATTTCTGATACAATAAATCATTTGAGTAAGTTGAACTCCACCCTTAGAAAGGACTCAGCAGCATTTCTTCTCTAACTATCTGCCCAGTACAAGTTTCAGCTCTTCGTTTCTCCCAATAAAAGGAAAAGAGAATCATACTGTTTACCTCTAGCTTCAAAAACACATCCTGATCCCCTGGGTATCTTATGTTCTAGATACGATTGAGTGCTGTCTGTGTAAGCTTACCACAAGGCAGGATAAATTGTGAGCGCTCTGACTTTGCAGAATTTGTTCAGGGCAGAAACACAGCACTAGCCTTAGCAATGGTGACAGTTTCATTCACTGATGAAATGGAGCAAGAATAAAATAAATGAGCCTTTCAAAACATGAATGGTGACCGTAGGCTGTATGAGATATAATTATCTGCTTATTGCAATAAATACATTGCTGTTGTGCTTACAGCATGTGCTAAATCCTCTTTCTTATACTGAAATGATAAGTAGCAGTAGTAGTCAATATCTCAAACAGTATATTTTTCAGAGTACTGTTACAAAACAGTTAGACAAAATATATTCATTTTCCATGAGTACAATGGAACATTCTTTTTAATTAATAGAAGTTGGATGTTTTAATCTATGTGCAAAAAGCAAGGAAAAAAAATTTTTAGTGACGTTGTTCCTTTGAATTACCTGATAATTGTTGTGAAATTGCACTCTGTACTGTAGAGAGAGTGTGATGTCGGTCCTCTTCTTCTTGTTAGGAAATTCTGTTGTGTTTTTTTTTTTTTTTTTTCAACACCTTTTTGTCAACAGTGTGAATGATAGTGTTTCTATTCACAGGGAATCGTTCACTTAAGTCTTTCATCAAGCATCAGAAATCCTGAAAACTTGCTTAGATTTACATCCTTCCATTGTCTGATGGAAGATGCATCAAGGTTTTCATGCTTTGCTTATTGTTTCCCATGTTTCAGGAAGTCTGATGCAGGCTTGTGAAATAATGTGACTGCTGTGTGTAACCTGTGCTAACACCGGATACACATTTTTCATCTCAAACCTGAATATAACTGGATGTCTGCTTGTTACCTTTACTACAAATAGGTTATAGTTTAATCATTTATGTTGCATGTTTTTCTCCAAACTGAGATATTTTGTCTTGCATTAACTTTTTGCACGTTTCTTCCACTTGGAGGTCAGAAAAGAGCAGCAAAACTGAACACAAACTGAGGTTAAGTTTGGTACACTTCACCAAATCACTCTCTCTCTCTCTCTTTCCTGCAGGCCATCTCTGACTTATAACACATTGGCTACACTTCATCTATGGCCTCAGTCCTGTGGGGATGCTGCTTTTATTCCCTTTTAGCAAACCCTGTGGTCTGATAGCTGCCTTGGTGCTGACTGCCCTCATGCTCCTATATGAATATGGCCTACACGGATCAAGCATACTTAGAAAACTTATAGACTGTTTCGCTTTCTAAGTACATAGTAACCCATTATCACAGTGACAACTGCTTACCGTTGCAGTAGCTAATCTTTCCACACGTGAATACTGTGATTGCAAACACAGTGAAGTCATCTAAAGTTAAGGGATAAGTTCTGTAATTCTAGTCTGTGGTGCACAGTGCAGTAACAGCAAGTCCTGTTAAAAGCTTCTTTTGCTTGCTTGTTCAGATATTTACACCTTTTTCATCTCCTAGAAATTCATAGTTTCAACGTTCCTTGTCAAGTTAACATAGCATTAAATCTCATTCATTGAATATTGGGACTTAAATTTGTATCAGTGAAGCCAGTACCATGAAGATCTGATAGGTAGAAATTAGTCCTTCTGCTCTCACTGTAGAGGACCCGTGGGCACTGCTGTGTGACACGAACTCTCAATGATTTTTCCGAGCAGCTAGTAAGCAAAAGTGCACAAACCCTACTTGTTGCTTGCTGTTGCCACAATGCACTTTAAATGTGTTGGTGCAATTCAGTAGTCTACATTTCCCCCTCCTGTGACTAAATTGCTTACATCTTTTTAAATATGGTTATGTTCTGTTCTTTTTTTTTGTTTTTGTTTTTCCAAAGGAAATCACAGCGCATTCAGTAAAAGAAGGCATTTTGGAGAGGAAGTTGAAAGCTGAGGGGAAAGAAAGACCCAACGTGTAATAAAGCTATAAACCATTTCAAAGTACAGTATGTTTGAAATAGGTCTGTTTAGAGTTGCACAGGCATGTACAGATCTTCTTTATCTGTTTCAAACAAGGTTGCTCTTAAATAAAAGTTTAAACCAGTGAATTAATCTAAGTGACCACTGTCTAAAAATTAAATAATAAAAGAAACCCCTTCTATTTCCACCAGTTGAGGTGGGTTCAGTTCACAATTTTTGTTCACAGGAACTATAAAGTTGCACAAACCAGTGCATTTTCTTGTTTTGTTTTGTTTTTTCACGTTTGCTGCTTCAACTTTATAAGGCAACTCCTGGTCCCCAAGCTCCTGCTGCTAAATTGAGATTCTACTGAGCGTAATAAAACACTGCTGGAGCCTGAGTGTCCTGGCCATTCGATTGCAATTGCATGTGTGAACAAGTCAGAAAACAAGTGTTCAGAGATAACAGGATTAGTATTAGGAGACTGAATTCTTTTCTCTCTCCAATGATTTTTTTTTTTAAATGCTGCTTGGCATTTTCCATTTAAATGAGCTTTCTGTGAAGCTTCTAGAAAACTATTATAGGAATGTATACAAGATTAAACTGATGTTGCAGTTCATTACTATCTGAGATTTGAGATTCAACACCTGAGTCTGTCTTTTCTTTAAGTGTGAAAAGAAAAACTATCGTAAAAAATTCTGAAACTCTTGAAGAAAAGTGCCTGAATATATTTGGTGGCAGTTTATGACTGAAGAAAATGGTACAGATTTTGTCATGGAAAAGCTGTTGTTCACATCTGTTAAACTGGTTTTATCTATGTTTGCTGTTACAGTACACAGAAAATGGAGATGGGCTTTCTATTGCCTGGAGATAGAAATGGATTTTTCATTACCGAATATTTTGCTGTAACCCTTATTCCATGCATTCTCTGTAGAAAGTGCTGAGTTCAAAGACTGAACGTGTAGTGGACTGAACAGTTGCATTGTTTGTTGTTTTAAACCTCTGCTAGCAAGATACATAGTGAATTTTCTACCAGAAGTTAATTGGCTTTCAGTCCTTGTTGTGCATTTGTCTTTCAGCCTGATGTTCCTGCTGGGAATGGCTTTGTCGGTAGACTCAGCTTCATACCGTTGGCAGCGACTCGGAGCCAAAAGTGGCCCCCAGACTGTGTCAGAATCAACACCTCTGCTGTTTTCTGTCAGAGACAGACTGAAACTCAACTTGAACAAGTGGAGAATTGTGTTTTCCAACAATGGGAGGCAGCAGAGAGGCTGGGACCAAGCTTCTAGATTTTATTCTGGAAACAGGATACAAACTACAAAATACACATGGCTTACTTTTTTGCCCAAAAATCTTTTTAAGCAGTTTCACAGGTAAAAATAATAATCATCAAATGATGATAAGAACTCTTTCTGAAGCAGTGATATTTGAAGGTGATAGAGAAGGGCCGCTTTTGGAGCTACCACGTCTTTAAATTTTAGGTGAACGCTCTTTGTGAACAAATGTCACCTAATTCATACTGAAGTGGAGGCTTAAAGCAAACAAATAGTAGGTGTCCTAACCCACGTTGTGGCCACATTCAGTACTGGAGCAGCTTTCCTTGTAAAAATTTCAGGTTGCATATCAAGATAAGATATCATGTTCCATATCCATCTCTAGAATTGAAATTTCTGTTAGCTTAGATTTATACCTTCATAATTTGATCTTCCACTTTCCACAGATGGAATTTTTCATGGGTCCTTGAGTGAATCCTGATGTGAATTATGAACATGTGTTTTCTATACTCATCCTGCTGCATTGGTTTATTTTTTGTGAGGTTTTTTTGGGGGGGGTTGTTGTTTTGTTGTTTGGTGTGGTTTGAGTTTTATTTTGGGAGGGGGGGGAGGGGGGATAATTTTTTTTGCTTGCCTTTTGTTAGAATCTATGATTATTTTCAAAACTGAGTTTGTGGGGGATCATTAGAGAATGTTCACCTCCTAGAGATTATATATGTGTGTGTGTGTATATATATATATATATATATATACTTGTAATACGTGGAAAACTAAGGTAGCTATAATGTTATGACAATATATCTCACAAGCTTTTCTAAAGAAAAAATAAGCAAATCAGTTAAATAATTAATTATTTTGAGAAAGGATGAGGTTAGAGATATGAAATGATTAATGCTTATGACATGAGATGGGGGATTTTCATCAGGAAATTACACCTTTAATTCATTTTTGTATCTTTCTTTACAGGCTAGCTAATCTTTATTTCCTCTTCCTGGTGGTTCTAAACTGGTTCCCACAAATGGAAGTCTTCCACAGGGAGATTACTATGATTCCTCTGATCGTGGTGCTGCTTGCCAGTATGAGTAAGGATGCTATTGAAGACTATAAAAAATACCAATTTGATAAGAAGATAAACTCTTCTAAAAGCAGGGTATATGACAAGTAAGTAGACCAAACCAATTATTCTACTTGCGTTTGGCATGGTGGAAGCCGCTCATTTTGATTTTGCAACAATTCCCTTCCTGACCTTTTGGAGTATAGGAAGTTTGGAAGAGCTGTTATAAACACTTTCAGAACATGCTTCATTTATCTCACTCAGAGTCGGAGTTATCCTGAGAAGTTTTGTTTTCTATCACAAATCTGTGTGCTGATACATCAGTTTTCATTCCAAGTTTTCAAACCAGTTTACCAACACACTGTATCTTCTCCTAGTAGCAGAAGGTTCTGAGAAGGTCTGGAAAAGATCATTAGCCTTTTTTCACATATTGGAACAACATCTTTCAGAAATTTCCTGATAAAACCATTAAAACAAAAAATTAATGATCAGCTGCATTTATGCATTCAAGGTGAAGCATAACCAGGAACTGAACAAATTTTATAGAATTTCCAGTTAGCATAGGTGATCAAAACAAGATATTTTCACTCTGGAAGTGGTACAACACCCACTTGCAGTAAGCTGTGTTGTTTGCTCAGTACTGACTCAGAAGGAAGAAATATTTTCAAGTGCAATTCTTATTGCAACATTTCAATTTCATCAGAGTTTCTTGTCCAGGTACTAATTTGATTTGAGACTACATCACTTGTCTCTACATAACACAATAGGAGCTTTGCTTTAAAAGATGTTTAAATACTTGTGCTTCTTCCATTTTTTTAACACCTCCTTATGCCCAAGCCATAGAGGAAAAATTACCGTGTAGCTTTCTTGCAATTTAACTCTCATCTGTGCTGATTACTTATGTGGCAAGGGCACAAGGTCCAACAGACTGAAAGAAATGAGAGTCTGCAAGGAGAAAAGGGTGAGAAAGGTCTGGGTGAGAAAAGGAAATGTGAGTCCTGAGGCCAGTCTAACGGGGGAGGAGCAACAGGCTGTGGGGCAAGCTGGGTAAACTGCCCTTAAATTGCCTATGTATATGTATAATTCTTTCTACTAGAAATTTTTGCTCATATTAGAGAGTAGGGTGGGACAGGATGCTTGCCTGTTTGTTTTAATAAATGAAGTTATGGGCATGAAAGCAAATAGTAAATAGAGGAGGTTGGAAAAGATGAATATTTCTGTACAAAGGTTTACAGTAATCTGTTGACTTCTGTACGCAGAGCTCTGCCCTTTACCTTTGAACTTCCTGGCTGCAAACAGGCTTATAAAACGATTCAGAAAACTTGGAGTGAATGGTGAAAACTGCGTGTATGTCCTTAGTTTTGTCTGTGCAGTGTTAAAACAAAGGTACTTCATCTGAGCAGATGCATGATTCCAGGGAAATACTCTGGGGCCTCCAGGCATGCGGTAACAGGAATAACAAAACATTCAGGATGTTTTTCTCATGTGTGACGTGCAGCCTTCCCGGCAAGCTTTAGGACCCAGAGCAGCTGGGTCAGGAAGATACCTGTTTCAGGGCAGGTGGATGCCGGAGTCGGTGAGAAGCAGCCCTGTGCTCTGACAGCTTGAGTATTCCCTCCACCACTTTGGACTTGATCTTGGTTATTGAACTCTTCTAACTTCATTAGCCTATGACTTGAGGCTACTTTTTGAGAGGACAGCAAGATGTCAAGGAGAAGTTTTCCAGGCTGCTTCTCTAAGATGGTATGGAAAAAACATTTTTTCAAGGAAACCTGCTGTCGATGCGTTGCTTCAGACAGCGAAACCCAAAATGAAGTGCTGGAGAAGAGAGGAAAATTAAAGAAAAGAAGAAAGAAAAATGAAAATAAGCGAGTGATCAAGTCCAATTTGTCTTTTGGAAGTACAAACTGGAAAGAAAATCCAAACAGATACTATGGCTCCAATAAAATTAAGACCACGAAATACAGCATCTTGACTTTCGTCCCTAAAAACATCTATGAGCAGCTTCACCGCTTTGCCAATATTTATTTTGTGGTCATTGCGCTGCTGAATTTTGTGCCAGTGGTGAATGCTTTCCAACCAGAAGTTTCTTTGATCCCTATTTGTGTTATAATAGCCATGACAGCCATTAAAGATGCTTGGGAGGACTTTCGGCGGTATAAACTAGACAAAGAAATCAATCATATGGGTTGTTACGTTTACAGCAGGTGAGTTTTTTACAGATTTTCTTTTGGAAAATGTTGGCTTGAGATTTTTTTATCACTTGTGAGGTTTTTTTTGGTTGAAATATTAATAAATGCCTGCTAAAAAATCACAGTGATTAAGTGAAATGGTGTAAAGTTGCAGTGACTAGATAACACCCATACTTGGTCTGGTAACAGGAAAGATGTTCTTATTTTGCTTAAATCTATTGTTCAGACTGGGAAGGAAAGTTTTTGTTTCATGGTTCTGCTGTGGCGATCGGCCACTTAGACATGCAGTGTTTAAATAGCTATCGAGCCCTGGAGTTCTAAGGAATTTTCAACACGGCTAAATTCTGTCATTACAGTACAGAACAAGATTTGCACAATCAATATAGCACAGAACAAGTTCTGTCATGCAAATGGGTCCTTGTTTGCTTAGAAACCTAGAAACCTTTGAAAAACGTAGCTAGTGCTTTGGACTAATTTCAGTTTTATATTCCAAACTGTAGGCTGCCTTCCAGTTGTGTTTTTTTATTTTTGGGGTTTTTTTTTTTCTAGGTTGTATGTAAAACAAAACTGCATGTAAATGTATTTTTTAAAAAACTGAGATAGTAACGCATACTTCTGTTTGATCTTGTCTAAATGAATATCTGTGACATTTTCAAAATGTTTCATGACCTCTTAAGTTTAGGACTTTTTGTTGTAGCAAAACTGTTATCAACATAGAAGATGACTTCTGCCTGCTTAAATATCACACAGGGTGCCAGCAGAGCAAAACTTCTAATTTACCTGAACTTTATTTGTCATGCCTCCAATTAATCAGCAGTGCTTTATGTTCTCACAAGTAGAATCTTGTAGAACTCTAGACCTCTTTTATCACAGAGTTCTGTCATTACTGTTTCTCTTGCATGTCGGATTTTTATTTTTGTATCCTGCTGGTTAAACAGAGAAATAATGGATTTGCTTACTTACCCCCGCATAGAGGTAATGACTTGTCAGAAATAAAATCTCTGCTCTTTTTGCTAACTTATCTGGAAAAGTGGACATTTTACAGGTTTCTAAATATTGCACATCTAGGACTTTTTTCCTCTTCCACTGTGAAGACTGTCAGTAATTCTAATTCTTTGGGTAGGTACCTGAATTGCCCCTATTTTTGAGGCTGCCATAGTTGCATTAATCCATGGAGCAGTGGATTATTTGATTATATAAGACAGGGAATGGTAGGATTGCCATGGAAACACTACTTCCTCTTGACATAACGCAATGTTAATTTATATGGAAAAGACTTTTACCTTGAGTAAATGAGAAGTAGAGAATACAATATGAACAGTTTTCATGTTAAAGTACATCATGGCATTACAGTGTACATACACATCCAGATCCACGCTGTAGCCCAGAGTACTTTCTTACGCAGAAAGATGAGGTAGCCCATCTTAACATTGCTCATCCCATTCCACAGGAAGATCTTTGATCTATGAATAAATCTTGTGTCTCACCGGACTCATATAGCCCAAAACAGTGATGTAAGGGAAAGCAAAATAAGGAAGCCTTCAGACTCTACTATTCATTCTATCTGGAATAAGTGTTGACAATTGTGATTGCTCTCAGATCTGTAGTTACGGCTTATTATATCATGAATAATTTTAATCAGGCTTCTATAGCTCTTTGGGAAGCTGGTATGTCTTGTTCTTCTTGCTAGCTGCAAAGTCATGGCTTTGTATGATGGCTTCTAATTTCCTTCCTTGTGAATCATCTGTCAAAAGTAATTTTTTAACACAAGTGAAAGTCTTTTTCAGGGGACTGTGAATCTTGTTAATTTTGTGACACCAAAGAATCCTATGTAATAGAGTAACTCATCTTCCATTGTAAGATGAAAATTTAATTAGATTTAAGGTATTAATCTTGGAGTGTAAATTGTCTTTATTTCAGATTTCAGTAACAAGAAATCTAGTTCCTGTTCCTTAAAACATGCAAAGTGCACTCTCTTTTCTGAAAGCCAAATGTCCTCCAAAACTTTCTTGAACATCAGAGGAAATGCTGTTAACTTCTTTCAGCGTGGAGCAAGGGAAATTGAATTCAAGTAGACTGCCCTGTAAACACATTACTTCTAATTTTCTTTTTTCCAGAGGTCAGCTGGAATAGCTAATCTAGCCTGCTAGTCAAATGAAGGAAAAGGCACTTCAAGTAGTGTACTTAAAGAATGCTTAATTGGAAAAAAAAAAAAGGAAACAATAATATTGAAGTATTTTGGGGAATTGCAATACCTTAGATCTGATGTTTGATTGCGAACATTTAACTTTCTGATTAAAAAGTATTTCTTTCATAAATTGTGTACAGACTTGTGCCGCCAGATTACATCACGCTACGCCAAAATATGAGAACTAAATTATACTTGCTTCTTTTGTCTTGTCTTTTAATTATACTTAGTCTTCTGTTAAATATACCTCGTCTGTTTTTAAATTTTTGTAGGAATGAGGCTTCTACCACTACAATATGTGATTATCAAAGCATTTTCTATGATATTCTGCTTTATTATCCTTCTTTAATTGTATTAAAATTCCTCAAGTGACCTGGTTTCATGCAACCCTAATTATTCTTCATCATCAACATTTAATTATAGTGCTCATGCATGTGTAATTTCTATCATGTTCATTTTGCTACTCCCAGACAGCTTTTAGGCAAGATATGTACACAGAACACCCTTTTAATCTGTCTTGTCAGTCAGTCCATCCATTCCTATTTGGGTTACTTTTCTCTGAAGTCTCTTGAATTTGTCCCTAACTAACAGTGGCCAGCACTGAGTGTGATATGCAGGTCTGTAAGTGAATGTCAAACCAACAGTTACTAAAAGCTATTTAATTATTTCAGCATTCCATGACATTCGAGAAACCACTTGATGTATGTATGATTAACTTGTGGGCTGG